AGGGCCAGGGCGGCCTCCGTGAAACGTCAGAAAGCGGGCGGGTTTATGCATTAAACGAGTTTATTTGTTAATACAAAAACAGCCCCAAGAACAATATTCATGAACACGCATAAAGTCTTGGGCTAGAGCCACAGCTGAGCTACTGGCCAGTTAAATTATAGTCTGCTACTGCAGTGTGCCGGCCCGAGGGCAGCAGGGCCTGCAGCCCACCCGCAGCTGTCATTGAAATTCCTGACACAGCGTTAGTAATCTTTATGGCTATTAGTTTAGTTTTCTCTCAACAGTAGACAGGAGGGGTGCTCTGCACCTCAAACCCAGATCTTACACACGTGTTCTGTGGGGTCCAGCACTTCTCATCCTCAGCAATCGGGTCAGATTTGTTTAGGCAAAGCTGACACCCCTCTCAGCAAACAATTCCTGTTTAGAGATACACCATGGAGCACTCAAAATTTCAAGGACAGCAGGAAAGCAGAAGGGCAAAGGAGTTACTTCAGTTCGAGCACCAGTAGGACCACGCAGAGGTCCCTCAACCACACTGTTGCTCTCACGGCCCATTTGGCCTTCTCCTAGGGGAAGCTTGAGGCATGGCACTTCTTGCCAAAAAACACCTTCACCCCATGAGTTTGGTTGCAATAGATCATGCTGTGCAACTGCACTGTTCCCGTGCCCACCACACCCTGATGAGGACGGGCCCATCTCCAGGGCTGTCCCCAAGCTCCAGCCCAGGCAGCTCAGGCTGCACGGGAGCTGATGCTGCAGACAGGAGTGCAGAGCAGTCCCCAGAAGGCACTACCACCCAGGCTTTCCCTTCTCACCAGCTACACTGCTGGAAAAAACATCAATACCTGAAAATCAGTGCAACTTCCAACCAACATACTGATGAGCACCCAGCAGGAACTCTACAAGACACTGGCCCATCTTCTGTTTGGACATTGCAATCACAAATAAATCCTTGGATTTCTCAGTACAGGATGAGGAACAGTATCAGCAGTACTAGGTCACTCTCATTTTTCATGGTCTTGTTTAAACCCACCATTCAACTTCACTAAAGCAAGCACCACTAAGGCCCACAGCAGTCACCTCCCCTTAGATAAGCCCACAAACCCCACCAGCACCTCTCCACAAACCTTGGCCAGCTAGACCTGAACACCCTCCATTTACTACTGACACCCTAAAACGCTTCAAGTATTTCACATTCACTTACCTCTGAGAGTGGATGACTGGTTTTGTGCCTTGCATAGGGGAAAAAAAGATGGTCCCACCAATTGCCAGGGCTGGGAGTGGTCACTCTGAGGACACTCACTTGGGGCTTCCTGCACAGCTATCAGGATACACCACTGCAGCCACCTACTGCCAGCTGGGTTTCCTCAAGAGACTGCACTGTTTAGTTTAACTTGTTGCCCCTTTGCAGGGAAAGCTGAGAGACGAATGCCTCAAAAGAAAATTCCTAGAAGACTTTCAAACCAAGCAGAAGACAGAACCACGGCGCTCCCACCGAGGGGACTGTCACGGCACCAAGTTTAATTAGATACACCACAGGGAAGGAAGATACCACGACACAACTCCATGGAAACTTTTGATCAGAGCTTATACAATATTAGACATACACACGCATGCACACACACAAAAATCAGGCTTCAACTTCAGCTTCTGCCAGAGCTACTGCTACAGAAGCACTGAGGACTCGAGGACGGTCCAGAGCAGTCCCCTGGTTCTGCCCATGCTTCAGGCACAACGCCAGGGCTTGGGGTGGGAAAGGGGAGCAAGGTCTGCTTTAGAATTCAGGGTTATTTTACCATTCTCCCCACACATGCTAAACAAATTGTGCCATCTTTGTCTGTTAAAAAGTTAATTTATTATCCCCTCCTGGTAAAAAAGTGAAAAGCTATACTCTGTTAGACCAGCAAGTACAGAATTACTCCAGCTCTTTGGAGGTTTTTAGATACAACTTCAAAGCATATTATTCCACAAAGGAACAGCAAGTACCTTTCTTAAGAAAGGAAACTCTATAATGGGTCAGCCTTTTCTTTTAAGCAGAAGAAGATGTATCCATTACAGGACTCCCTTTCTGTCCAGATGACTCCTGGGAAATACTCTAACATCCTCTGGGCAGAACATACAGCAAGTTTCCTAAGGAGAAATAGGTCTTAAAAAAAAGTTACTCCAGGAAGCAAGTGCAAGTTCCTTTTAAATCTGTTTTATAAGAAGGATACCAATGTACATTTTAATAGTTTTATTTTCATTTTCCCAAAGGGGGAACCAAAGGCAGAGAGGTGTTGTGAGATACATCACGCCATTCATATGGGTAAATCAATTTGCAAATGTTATTTTACCACTCTATAAAAATACACACGGGAGTGTGAGGGAAGCAAAGGAGTTCAGAGTGGCTGTCAAGGAGCGGTATGTTAAAATACAATCAGTTTTCTTTTCCCCTAAAAATCGTGGCTCCTTGTGTTCCATAAAGCCAAAAGTCTTTAGTAGCCACATGCCACAGGAACACAGATTTAAGTGGTAACTTCCTCTGAACATGTGCACACAAAAGCGTTAGTAAAGAGCTGCTCCCACGGGGCTGGGCAGCAGATGGGAGCGACACAGCCCCCTCCACGCAGGAAAGAAGATATGTGTTCAGTTTTACTGTCTCAGCTTCCCATCCAAACTCCTGTCCACAGGCTCCATGTCATCCAGGCATCTCTGACACAAGTCTATAGTTCTATAAAAAGAAGTCACGCTGTAAGATGGAGATATTTACCCTGTATGTGTTATGCAAGCGTGAAGAGGAACAACCTTCCAACGTCTCAAGATACATCCAAGCCATCTGTAAGTGACCCAGTTCCTCTCTCTGTCCAACTGTGCTGTGGGAAACTCAGTCAAGTGCCTCTTCACAGGTAGAGACAGTTTGCTTTTAAAAATACTAAGGACACATTTTTATTTTTTTTTTTTTTTTCTTTTTTAAATCTTTAAGAACTTCCTGGAAAGTTACTGTGGAAAATGAAAGTGCTCCCATGGTGAGACCAACGTGCAAAGGTCTACAGACTTCTGTCACTGCTGCTTTCTTAGTGCTCCTTCCCTTAGCAGATTGACGTTAAGATGAGGCTCAATACATCGCCACGAGGCCATCATCCACCTGGAACAAGCAGGCAGACACTGGAAAATGTTTTATGCTCAATCATAAAACGTGGAATAAGCAAAAAAACTATTGTTCAGATATGATCAGTGTGGTCTCTCGAGGGTCTATATGCCAATGGCCTGTAACACTCGCTTCTCATTCTCGTTGAGATGGTCGGAGAACATGGCATAGCAGGGCTGCTGTGCAAACTGACAGAGGAACTCGGTGAGATAGGCCTGGGAGGAAGACAGAGAGAACCAGTTAGAACCAGGGCATCTGGGGGAAAAAAATCCAAAGATTTTATTTTTATCCAGAGATAAACCTCAACACGCACCAAGCCAGACAGAGGGACTGCAGGGGACACAAGTGATGCAGGAAGCAGCAGAGGGCAAGGGCTACAAACAGCTGCCAGGAGGTGGGAAAAAAGCAGGAGCAACCATCCTACAGGGACTGACTGGATGGGAGCTTCTCCAACTGGAGTAGGAAACTGTCAGGTTCAGTCTCCAACTTACTCCTGATTTCAGCAACTAGCTGTGAAGCTCATAGGTAGAAAAGTCGGGAACTGGTCTGCTCAGTAAGTTTTGTTCATTCACAAGTTATAGATATCAATTCAATATGAAAAAATAGTTCCAGGCATCCTTGGAATAATCAGCACTTTCCCAAGGAGTTTCAGTGAACTCAGTACCTTTGGGACAACAATCAATAGCTGGTGTTTCCACTGGTTTACAGTTCTGTTAAAGTACAACATAAAAAAAGTCTATAAAGAATTATGGGAATTTAATTAAAAATATCTAATTCTAGAACATCACCTGGAGATCTATTTGGTAAAGAGGGTCCTTTAATGCATCTGGATCATCCTCTTCATCATCTTCATAGTAATCCTCATCTGTCAGAGGCAAATCAGCAGGTTTTAACATCACACAGAGTAAAATACCTCAGGAAGTATCCTATTAGACTATCGTTGAAATCCAAGGATTCAAAAATAAACAGTTTCAGCACTACTGGGTTAAAAAAAAAATTGTATCCAGAATATTCCCTCTCTAAGTTCACAAGATTAGAAAACACTAAAGCCCAGAACAAGCCAGGCTGGGGGGAGTCTGAAGGAACAGGAACACTGGGGTACCAGAGCAGCAGCTTGGTTGGTGACATGCACTGTCATCTCAGGGCTCCATCCTAGGCCAGGCTGGCACATTTCCAGTCCTGTGCTAATAGAAGCAGCCTTCCTTACAGTGTTTCCCTGTGAGGTTCTCTCTTCCAGGACCATACACAAGCTGGGGAGCAGAGGGAAGGAAAGGAGACACCAGCTCCACTGGCTTTACGCAGCAATTGTTCGCTCCACAGCCAAGCTCAGCCACTTCTGCCACACTGTCACCCTAAGGTCACACCTACAGCTCTGAGCATCAGTCTTCTCTTGAGAAGAAACACCTGCATGAACCTTACAGCTATGTGAAGCCTATGCAGCATCTGAGCTGTTAGCTGAAAGTGCAGTCCTTTAATGATTGTGTTATTCAAAGGACATGGCCCTCTCTTACAGAAAAAGCTCCTTATCCAAAATCCCAGGGCAGTACTTCCTTCCCCCTGCCTGAGAAGACTATGAGCAGGATCTCATCTACTCTATTTGCACTTCAGGCAAGCACTTTAAAGCTGTTACTTACCATACTTGTTTGTGGAAAGAATATCTGATAAGAACTGTCCTGCCAAGCCTTCATCTTCATCCTCATCCTCTTCCTGATCCTCCCACATATCATTTGAATCATCTGTTTAGAAAAAAAAATAAATCAAGATATTATCAAAATCCAAGAGCTGTGGTCTATTGCTCACTCTGCAGGGGACCTGTTTCTAGGCAAACATCTCTGCTTGTGCAGGCAGACGAAGGGGAACACCTCTAACTGCCACCTTCTTTTGGCATGAAGGGCTCAAGAACTGGAGCTAAGCAAGAAAGCAGCAGCAAGAACAGGTGCTTGAACAGCACAAGTCTTATGAGAAGCAGCTGAGGGAACTGGGGCTACTTTGAAGAAAAGGAGGCTGAGGAGCCTTATTGCTCTCTACAGCTACCTGAAGGATGGAGAGGTGGGTGCCAGTCTGTTCTCCCAAGTAACAGGCAATAGGACAAGAGGAAATGAAGAAAGCTAAAGACAGCCTGAGAGAGTTGGGGCTGTTCAACCTAGAGAAAATTCTGGGGAGATCTTCTTCCAGCCTTTCAGTATTTAAAAGGTGCCTCTAAGAAAGCTGGAGGCACTTTTTTACAAGGGCTTGTAGTGATAGGACATGGGGTAATGGCTTCAAACTGAAAGAGGGGAAGTTTAGATTAGGAATTAGGAAGAAGTTCTTCACTATGAGGGTGGTGAGGGTATAGAACAGGTTGTCCAGGGAGATTGTGGATGCTCCATCTCTGGAGGTGTTCAAGACCAGGCTGGATAAGGCTCTGAGCAACCTGTTCTAGTGGGAGGTGTCCCTGCCCATGGCAGGCAGGTTGGAACTAGCTGATCTTCAAGGTCCCTTCCAAACCAAACCATTCTGGCCTCAGGCTGCACCAGGGCCCCTTGCACCAGGGGAGGTTTAGGTTGGACCCTCAGGTTGCACCAGGGCCCCTTGCACCATGGGAGGTTTAGGTTGGACATGAGGAAGAATTTCTTCACTGAAAGGGCTGTCAGGCTTGTGGAACAGGCTGCCCAGGGAAGTGGCTGAATCACCATCCCTGGACAAGTTTAGAAGTTGTGTAGATATGGTGCTGAGGGACCTGGTTTAGTGGTGCCCTGGCAGTGCTGGGTTAACAGTTGGACTCAATGATCTTGAAGGTCTTTTCCAACCTAAAGGATTCTATGAGTCTATGATTCTAACTGTGATGTAGGGAGGAAGAAATGCAAACCAGATACACCAAGAAAGGATAATTTTACTGGCATGTGGTCAGATCTCATCTTCCAAACTGGCCTAAAACAATTTTCCAGTGTAAGAGTATACACAAGACTGATCTTATCCTTTGGATCACTATTTAAACCTTTGCAATTACAGGTATACTCTTTACTATTCTGATTTTCCTATTACTATAAATGCTCCTGCAGAGATTACCATGTAGATTTAAGCCACACAAAAAGAAAAAGCAAACCCAGTGTTTTACCTTGGCTCCAATCTGCAGTTGTCTGTCTAGATGCATTTGCTTCCATTGCATTAGAGAGTTCATTTATTATTAATTTTAAGATTTTTACTAACAAAGGAATGTTTGTCCAGCGTTCAGGATCTGAAAGTAAAATATATATATTCACACTGGTTTTAATAAGTTGTTAAAAACAGGCCTTGTTTTGTTGTGGTGGTGGGTTTTGGTGGTTGTTGGGGGAGTGGTTGGTTTGGGTGTTTTTGTGGTTTCTTCCCCTTCCCCTTCTCATTCCCTCCCCCCCAATTTTAACAACAGTTAAAACACTAACATACAAGTAAACCTTCCAGCTTGGCAGGAAAAAGGAACTGATATAAAAACCCCAAATGCTCTTTCCATCTACCTTCACAGCTGCATTTCCAAACACCTTAGCTGCAATATCACATCTTGCATATTTTGAATGAAGAGAAGGCATAGGTAAAAATCTTCACAGCTGAATTACTTCAGTGACTCTACTCAATGAGATCATAGTTACAGATGGCTTCATTAAGCATTCTTCTCTGAGCAATGTTTACACTCCCAGCAGCACTTTCAAGTAAATGAGCAGTGCAGCATTCCCACGTATGGCTCCAAACTTTCTGAGACACTGTAAGCTCCAACTTTTCCTCACCAGTATTCCTGCAGGGCTCTTTTACTCCATAGGGATAACTAGACAGTAAAGGTGTCCTTAATTACAGAAGATCCTATCAAATAAATAAACGGTGAGTGCTAGTTTTAACTCTTGTTGGCATTAGTATGAGGAACAGCTGAAGGAATTGGGATTGTTTAGTCTGGAGAAGAGAAGGCTGAGGGGAGACCTTCTTGCTCTCTACAACTCCCTGAAAGGAGGTTGGAGTGAGGTGGGTGTTGGGCTCTTGCCCTAAGTAACTAGCAATAGGATGAGAGGAAATGGGCTTTAGTTGTTCATGGGGAGATTTTGATTGGATATTTGAAGAATTTCTTGAACACAGCAAAAGGATCACTTACTTTTGGCTGACTTGGATCGTGTCCGTATCCCCTCATCCATATTAAATATCTCTTCTCCCTTCACCCTGATGTCCTGAAGTCGCTTGTCGTCGGTGTTGATGCCATACTGAAGGAGTTTACACAAAGCTACAGAGCTGGGGAGCAGGGAAAAGGAGAAGTACAGGTCAGAATCTCCCTAAACTTTCACAGTTAGCAGGGAACACATCCCCAGAGCAGACATTCAGATGCCTTTTTTCTACATTTTTCCCAAGAACAAGCTTTATACAGTCTTCCTCTCTCCTGCTTTATGTCAGCACCTGACAATAGACACATCTCCTGACCTGCACAGAAAACTAAAAACTGACAAAGCTTTTGATTAAACACTACCAAACAGTGCAGACAGACATTGAAGGTTTGTCCAATTCAGAAGGAGCCACGATTTAAGCTCCTGAAGCACCATGTGCAGATGAAGATGGAATTAAGAGGAAAGCAGTGGCAAGAATGTAGTAATTTGGTTGATCTGCAGCCAAGAACATCTCTTCTACTCTTCTCTAGTCTCAAAGCTCTTTTCCACATCTGGGCCTCACAGCTCTGCTACACTCAGACCTTCTAGTTTGTTCCTTCAATATCTTCATCTCTGCTGCTAGAGATTTCTGTTTCACGCCTTCAAACCTTCTCCAGTTCCAAGCACTTTCAAGTCATACTCAGGATGTCTTTGACCACAGGTTAAAGCCACCAATTCATGCCAGGCACTCTTAAACCTCTCTTCTGGCTCCACAAGTCTCAAACTGCAGTTTCAGAGCTCCATGGAACTCACTCTTTTCATGCTTTCACTTCACATCCTCTTTCTCTTTTCTTTTTGGGGCTGGAGAGTGCTGAGGGAGCTGTGGAGGAACCGGCCAAGCCTCTCTCCATCATTTCCCAGCAGTCCTGGTTAACAGGGGAGGTCCTGGATGACTGGAGACTTGCCAGTGTGATGCCCATCTACAAGAGGGGCAGGAAGGAGGATCCAGGGAACTCCAGGCCTGGCAGCCTGACCTCGGTACTGGGGAAGATCATGGAAGGGTTCATCTTGGGGAAGATCAAGTGGCAAGTGCAGGACAACAGAGGAATCAGGTCCAGCAACATGGGTTCATGAAGGGCAAGTCCTATTTGACCAACCTGATCTCCTTCTGTGATCAGTGCCCTATGGTAGATAGGATGATGATAGATAGTGGATGGATCCATAGACAGTGGATGAGGGAAAAGTGGTGGATGTTGTGTACCTGGACTTCAGTCGGGCATTGACACTGCTTCCCACAGTGGTGTCCACAGTGGTGTCCCTCAGGGATCAGTTCTGGGACCAGTCTTGTTTCACATCTTCACCAGTGCCCTGGCTGAGGTGCCCTATGGTAGATAGGATGATGATAGATAGTGGATGGATCCATAGACAGTGGATGAGGGAAAAGTGGTGGATGTTGTGTACCTGGACTTCAGTCGGGCATTGACACTGCTTCCCACAGTGGTGTCCACAGTGGTGTCCCTCAGGGATCAGTTCTGGGACCAGTCTTGTTTCACATCTTCACCAGTGCCCTGGCTGAGGGGATCAAAAG